TCTAGACCGCGGTCAATATCGATTTCAGCCAATCAAATTCGTGAATTCGGTAGTTCCCAGTCCTTGTGAGACACAGCCATATAATAAGGCTGCATAATGACCGCTCAGATCTCGCTCGTAGCCGATCCGAACGCGTGTTATATCCGTCACAAAGCAAAGTCATATCATAAGGTTAGTTAATGTATTTGATACCACATTCTGAAACCATTAATAATGCATCACGTTTAAACAAAGGGAATCATGACCGCGACTGTGTTTGGATATCTGATCTTAATTAGCATAGATTTTTTTTACGATTTCAATTCTCCGTTTTCTCCTTAGTTTTAGTTTCGAGTTAGAAGTTATATCAAACACTCGAGACAGCGTTTGACCACTTTTCAAACACCTCCAGGTTCGTCAAAAATACTCCGCTGCGCATCGTATTTTCAACTCTCTTCTCAGTATTTGGAAATATGATCAAACACGGTCTTTCGTGTTTGATATGAGGTCATTATGTCCAAAAAACGACTTAAAAGGACTCAAAAATGACAACAAATCGTATCTCAATAAGGTGTCCCAAAATGTACCAAATGCCATCAGAGCTTGTCTAGATTTACAATGTGTCCCGGAGGAAACTGCCTCCTAACCTCTTACAGAAATGAGACATTTGTTTACATACTGTAGGTGTTCGTTTTTATCTGTTTTCTCTAACTTACAACAAAACTTCGAATTCAGCAAAATTTATTTAGTGTTTCGTTCAGTCATACCATGGAGACCTGTGCCGAATATAAAGATCATTGAGAGATTCTTAATTAGCTTTTGTGTGGTGCAAAATGCGATCAAATATTCCGAAAATTCAGCATAACCAGATGTAGGTTTTGAGCCCAATCGGGGCGAAATCGTCTTCCGCAAATTTCTTTAAAAAAATGCTGTATGAGCAGGAAGTAGCTGACAGTTAGTTGGCAATCTATGGGCAAAATACGAGTGCAAACAATTCTTCGACATAATTTTGCACCGCAAGTCCATTTTGGTCGATTTTTATAGATATGAGCACTCCTAAGTAAGGTTATTTTCCAAGAGGAAACAAAGTTTTGCCTTTTTCGTTACTTTTTCTTAAACTTCTGATATTTCTACAGTATTGATAATTTTATTATTTGCGAGATAACATGCTAACATGCTAACCTACAAGTGTTCCTTATTGCGAAAACAGTGTGCCTAATTTATCACTCGGGCATCCGTAGGAAAGCCCGAGTCAGATAATGCAAGCCGTTCTTGGTCGCCAAAAGGGGGCCCATGGTCCCAGACGTTCCATGCATAGACCTTGGAAACTGGGGAAGAGAACGTGACTTTGCTCGCTCTTCGGTGACAGAATGTGGTGTTTTGCGGAGAAAGTTTTGGCAAGAATCGCAACTTATACGTTCATCTCACATACAAAGATGTCGATGGTTTTCGGAAAGAGTCGGTCCACGAATTATATTGCTTGAAAGCCAGCCAGGTAAGCAAAGTTCACGTTCGGAACAACTGGGCAGATTGCGGTATGAGTTCAAACTATAAAAACACTGACAAATGATAGGCAGTCAATAACGGTATGTGGCTATTGCTGTTATTATTTAGAGCACTGCACTAAAACAAATCATATTGCAATAAAACGAGCTAAATACGAAAACGTTTTTGGACTCGAAGCTTGTTAAAAAATGCGACTTGTTTCTTGCACCGCGAAAAATATGCTGATCGACTTTCGGTAACTTGAATTAAATATCTTACTTCCAAGTTAGTTGGCTTTCTAGTAAGGTGCAGGAAAAAATATATCATTGTATGACTTTGGGGGCGAATTGCGGGAAAATAAACAGAAAATTCGACTGTGCGACCGTTCAATCACCCAAGATGGCCGATGGAATTTATGCAAAATTGCACATTTTCAACAGGCCAGTATAGAAAGAAGGGAACTTGCCTGGATTTCATATTCACACAGTTTGTAATTTACACTGTGATCATTCCTCTGAGCCAAAAGTCATCTTGAAGTAAATATGTTTAGTCCACTTCTTGGCCGTTTGAAAAATACAACTATTTATATGTAAAATTTCAACTGATTTTAGAGAGTCATAACTCTTCTAGTATACGAATCTCTCAACAAATAAAAGGTTCTAAAGGAAGAGCTATGCTACAGGTATACATATCTAAATGACTAGTTTGGCCCGTGAAAATTAAGCGCGCAAGACGAAAAACTATAAAGGGTATTTTGACCAATTGCGTCTTTTTTGGACGAGCGAGCAAGAACTTCGATTTCGGAGTCATCTTTGTGAACATAATTCGACATGTTTCATCGTCTAGTTTTTTTATGTAAATGACATTGTTCGTGAAGTAATATATCAAACACGAAAGACCGTGTTTGGCAACATTTCCAAATACCGAGAAGAGAGTTGAAAATACGATGCGCAGCGGAGTATTTTTGACGAACTTGGAGGTGTTTGGAAATGTGGTCAAACACTGATATATCTTCTCAATCGAGACTAAAACTAAGGAGCGAACGGAGAAATAAAATCGTTAAAATCTATGTTGATTAAGATCAGATATCCAAACACCGTCACGGTCATGATTTCCTTTGTTTAAAGTTGATGAATTATTAATGATCGAGTTTGAGAATTGAATTTTTAAGACACCAAAAAAACCTGAGTTTTCATGATCACAAATTTGTGTTCATAAATTTTCATTTTCTAGCTCGAAGTTGCGCTTTTCCCTTATAAATGTTTTCCTCTCAGTGAAAAAGTTTAACAATTCATTAACTGGAAATTTTGGGTGTAGAGAACTTCATACACGCAGAAACGCACCAGACAAGCTGGTTCTTGAAGGAACATGAAGTTTCGTTTTAGCTATGACTAAAGGAGATAAACTAAGAATAAAGCCAGGATTCGAGCTAGGATCCGAGCCAGGAATCGAGCCAGGATCCGAGCAAGGATCCGAGTCGGGATCCGAGCTAGGATTTGAGCTAGGATCCGAGCCAGGATTCACCGTTTCCGCGCCTTTAGTTTTTCCTGCCATTTTGATCACGTGATCAGAACCCAAAATATAGAACCAGCGTCTTCGCTACTGACTTGCAAGTAGAATCAATTCGGCTCATGCACGTCAATTTTGACACAGGGCGCAGGCACAGTGTCGAATTTGTAAAGCTGGCGAGTGTATATATTTTTTTTATTTACTAGGTAAATGAAAAATAGTTTCAGGCGAGAGAAAATCTTCGTTTGAATCATAAAAAACTATTCTACCTGAACATCCAGGAACACTGAAAGTTTTTTGGTAACTTAGTAGATTTAAGTCAATATCTTTTTAATAATACTAATACATTTCATCTTTGCGGCGCCTATGTCTATTTCTACCAGAAAATTTGACTTGCCACAGGGATTCCAAAAGTTGAATTTGTTCATTAAAAATGCTGGCAAGGGCTTCGATCGTTCTTGCTGTAGGAATATATAAAGCTTCCTTTTGCGTATAGATTCTACACCTTTGATAAACTAATGTCGAGTTTGATTTTATACAGTGCAAAAAATGCTGAAATTTTAAGAAATAAACAGGGCGTTTTCGTGCCGAGCACGGCTATATTTAGTCACCGAAAGAAATTTGATCGGGACAGATTTTGATCGCTTGCTAGGTAACCACTGCACGTAACGCAATCATCAAAACA